TTATTTTTTACCTTATTATTGGAATCGAAATTAGGAATTGACAAGAATTGGAATCATTAAAATTCAAACGATGCCCAACCTTACCCATACCCCACATTATTTTTTACTGGCACCTTTCTATTCACACTGTTTTAGACCCTTTCGTTTCTTTTAAACCTTCATTTACCCTTCTTTGCTTTTGCCCTTCTTAAAAACAACCACATAATCTTATACGTGAATGTACTTTTCAAAATTAGTTATAAAACAGTTGCTCCTGGCAACAGGGATAGGCGGTATGTTTGCTTAACTGTGTTTTGCTCCAAAATCATAACAGCTGTGTTTAAAACAGTTAGCTTCTGTGGTTCCATGTTGCTTCTTATAACAGTGAGACAGAAAATATTTTTTTATAAAAAATCTTTACTGTAATACAAGCTATGCCAATTAGCATTGCATTGCAATTGTGTGTTTATTGTCTTCCACGTTTCATCAGTGAAAGCGTATCTATCTGCATGTTATTCAGCTGTAGTGATATCTGATGCATTTGTCTATATAAGGGATTTCCTGGGTCTCACTTGTGAAACAGACATTACAGTGCATGAGTGTTAGGATTAGGGTTAACCCTGCTCCATAATGCTCACATCATCTCATTTTGGGTAAAAATAAAAAAAATTATACTAAAGTACTTTGTAACGCAGTAACTTGAGTAGCTTTTCAGCAAACTACTTTTTTACTCTTACTTGAGTCATATTATTTTTCAGTACTTTTACTCAAGTAAATTATTCCTTAAGTAGCTATACTTTTACTTAAGTACAATTTCTTAGTACTCTTTCCACCACTAGTGATTCCTCAGGACACCTATTTCAGTGATATCTCTCAGGTAGAGCCTGTGCACTTGACATGTCGGAGTTGTGGCGCTCATGTGGTAGATGCAAGTTTGTGTCTGGCATAGGGAATACAATTATCCGATCCCACTCCTCTCTCTTCACAATTTTCTGTCTCCTCTTCACAGTATCATTTTAACAAAGAAGCTGAAGCTCCTGCAATAATAAAAAAAAACAGCCAAAAAAACATCTGGATGGGCAAATATAAAAACACTGAAGCATCATTTTGCAATGTTTTGGCTGAAACTAACTAATTTAGAAGCTGTGACATCAACAAAAAGCTAATTAGGACGTGTTTAGAGTACACTGTACTTCAACAAATAATGGTGAAATTGGAAACGGCTGTTTCCACAGAGACAGTGTTACCCAACTTTACGAGGGAAATCAATCCTAGAGTCATGACATCATCTCAGCGAGGTGCTTCAAGAGCTGAGCTTATCACATGTGCAAAGTTTGGCACGTCAAACGAGACAGCTCAGACATCTCAGTTAGCTCCAGGGTGCTGCTTAGGTGGAGCCCTTCATGTCGGTCCCTTCTGCTTAAAAACAAATTCAAGGACGTGCACCTCCAGTAAGAGTAAGTGAGCTGCATTACTGAAAGGCACCATTACTGCATAAGTTATTTCATGTATATATGCAGCTGAGAAGGAAGCTTAGCAACTACTACTGTCAGAAAAACATGTATATAGATAGATAGATTTACATATACATAATAAATATACACAGAACACACACATACATTATGCAAACAAAAACTTTTATTTTGTATGCGATTAATCCCGATTAATCGTTTGACAGCACTATATATAGATAGATAGATAGATAGATAGATAGATATTCGAAATAGAAAGTTTTTTTTTAACAATTATTGTTAAATTATTGTATTAATATTATTTTTGATCAGATTTCATTTTTGATTAAAAACACTTGGAATGATATTGTATTGTATGAATTAGCTATAATTTCTAGCAAAAAGCATTAAATAAATATTCACAAAAAATGAATAAAAAAAATTATATAAAAAATTAAAATAAGAATGTTAATGTTATAATGCATTAGACTCTTTAAAGGTACAGTACAACAATCTTTTAATCTTATTATTAGAAGGTATTATATTACCCTATAGTTTAATTAGGATATATATTATCATAATGCCTCATATTTATAACATTATTGTCATGTTAGTCAGCTACTTCACTAACTTCCACCAAAAACCAATCGGACCAGTCGCTCAGAAAATCCTTATTACAACATTATATTATATATTCTGGCTTTGTAGAAAATGCGGCTAAAATGTTAAGCATGTATTGACAAGCGAGTGTGCCAACACGTACAATTGCAGCAAACGTGTTTCCATTAACCAGGGAGATGCAATTGTGTATTCTTTGTGTAGGTCATAATAATATGACCCATACTTCCATAATTTCCCTGGTCCTAAAAATACCATTGTTCTCTCTCATTAACAGGCCGGCAGCACTATAATACACTCCACTGTATCACTGTAATATGTCAGAGACTAAAATAACCATGGACGTCCTCAGCGTTAATTCAAATCCATTCACCACCAAGCAAAAATGTGGAGAAAACAGCAACCCCCTACATGTCACAAAATTGAGATCTGCATATCTCTATTGTACAGTTTAATAGGCAGGGAAATATGGTGCTTTTGTGTGAATTGCATAGCAGGACCCTGAGAGAATTACTCATGGCATGACTGCAGTGATCTGCAGTGTCCATGTGACCTGATGCAGCACTGTGCTATCCAGCATTGTAACTATCTAAAATACCAACACTTTCACATTAGAAAATTCACATTATTTGTCTTTATGGCTCTTCACACTTGAAATATTTAAACCTGGGTCATTCTAAACCCTGGGTAAACAAAGTCCTGGTTTATATTGTTTCATGTAATGTATTGCTCAATTTTCCCAGGTTAACAGTTAATCCTTGGTATTCATATGCTGACAATTCACACTGTACATTTCCAAACCCCGTGTTAATGTTCTTATTTGAATATTTGCGGCGTCAGTTTCACTGATTGGACAAATGCAGCACATTACCTGTTTACATATCGATAGCGTTTATATTATTGCAAACTGTATTGTCAAGTTTTTCCTGAATAGACTTTTTGCTGGAATATAAACATAGCTTTCAATAAATCAATACAACAATGGAAGAATGTTGCCTACTCAAAAGCCATTATTTATATATATTTGTCTTTTTTATGTTTTTTTTATGTATTTATTTATTTATTTTCGCTGTTGTTAATTACAGTCTCTCTGATAAATCATGGGTATATCGATATGCCTCAAAACATAATATAAATAGCCCTCATTCTCATTTAATAAACAAAACCATGTTCCTCTGTGAAAATGTTAGAAGGCCAAATATTCTGTATTGCGTATTTTATGTCTGCAAAGCAGCTATTAAAATATTGATTATTTTTTCCAAGTTAAACAAACAAACAAACAAACAAACAAATAAATAAATAAATAAATAAATAAATAAATAAATAAATGTCAAGGACTTTTGACTGGATCTATTCTTTCTTTCTTTCTTTCTTTCTTTCTTTCTTTCTTTGTTTGTTGGTTGCTTGGTTGGTTTGTTTCTGTGTAAAGATAAAGTGCAAAATGTCAGATGCAACTGTCCTTATTTAACATTTTGGAGAAGACAAGATTAATTTGAGGTGTAAAATGTTATGATAATTATATGCATAATAATATTTAAAAAAATAACTTTAGAAATAATTTTGAATATATATATATATATATATTTTAAATAATGATCATGACATTGATATTCAAGGTGTAATTCAAGGCTTTTTACTTTCATTAAATTCCAAATTTTTTTAGATAATGGTCCAAATTGGTCTAAATTATTTTCAAAACCTTATGAATACAGTGACAACATCTCTAAGAACTTGGTACATGCTTTCAACTAGATTTTATTATAAAATTATAAAAATGATAGATTATTATAGAAATTATATCTTGGGGACTTGGGGATTTGTCATTGACCCACATCACGTCCTTAAAGGGGTCATATGATGTTGCTAAAAAGAACATTATTTGGTGTATTTGGTGTAATGAAATATGTTTATGCGGTTTAAGGTTAAAAAAACACATTATTTTCCACATACTGTACATTATTGTTTCTCCTCTATGCCCCGCCTTTCTGAAACGCGTCGATTTTTACAAAGCTCATCAGTCTGAAAAGCGAGGTGTGCT